ATGTCATCTGCATAAAGCAGATGAGATATGCGAATACCATTCATGCTTGAAGTGATTCCAACTGAAGACTGTGCAAAAGCATTAGATAAAATCTGGAAACAAAGAATGAACAACAACGGAGACAAAGGGCATCCCTTACGAAATCCACTATCAACTTTTATCCATTCTGAAAATTTTCCATTTATGATGATGGAAAATCTTGGATTTAAAACACATTCCATAATCATTTTTGAAAACTTGGGCGGGAATTCAAAATAATCCAAAATTTTCATAAGAGTAACCCAGCTCATTGAGTCATATGCTTGCTCCATGTCTACCTTGTAAGACACCATCCCTTTGGCACCCTTTGAAAATCTGAGCTTTTGAAATAACTCTTGAGCTATCATTAGATGATCGAATATAGATCTACCTTTAATAAATGCAGCTTGTTCATCCGAAATAAGAGGAGGAATCACCTGTACCAATCTATTCAAAATAATTTTTGCAGCCACCTTATAAACGGAATTACACAAGCTTATGGGCCTGTAGTTTGACGGCAACATGGGATTTGAAACCTTTGGGATGAGAACAATTAACGTATCCTTCCAATTCTTGTCCATCTCTCAATGATACCGGAAATGATTTATAGCTTTCATAAAGTATTCTTGAATGATTTTCCAGTAACTTTTGATGAATGAATAAGTAATTCCATCGCAACCAGGTGCGATATTCCCTCCCAATTGCTTGATGACGACTTCAATTTCTTCTACTGAAAAGTCTCTGGAAAGCAGAACTTTATCTTCGTTCTTCAATACAGTACCAGGTTCCAGCCAACCTTCAATAATGCCTTGTCTTCATTTCCATTTTGATTTAAAGAAATTCCATATTGCCTCTTCTATCTGATTTGAATCTTCTACCACCATGCCAAGTTCATTTTTAATTTTGATAATTCGGTTTGAGCTTCTTCTGGCATTTGCAAAATGATGATAGAATCTAGTGTTGCCATCTCCATCCGAAAGCCATTTTGTTTTGGCTCTCTGTTTCCACCAACCATTCAGACGTGCTAATGTAACATTTAATTCATCAATTTTTGCTTTTAACAACCAATTCTCCTCATCAGTAAGTCATCCCTTATCAGATTCAGAAATCTGAAGTTTAAGAATGTCTTCCAAAAGACAATCTTTGAGCAAATTGAGATTCTTCAATTTTGCTTTACTCCAATAAAAAAGGGATTTTAAAGATCTTTTGAATTTTAAATTCAGCACATGAGAAGGACTACCCGAGTAGTTCTTACTCCACTCCTTTTTAACCACATTCACAGAAGCAGGGTAGGATGCCCATATATCCTCAAATTTCAAATTTCTTCTTAATGAACCAACATGGGAATTAATATGAAGAATAATTGGGCTATGATCTGAAGAAATTCTAGCAAGGTGTCTCAAAACCAAATTAGAAGAAAATTCATAGCCATAGAATTTAGGAAGCACATGTCAAGCCTTTCCAATATTCGAGCTCCTCCAATTTTATTGTTGCACCATATGAACCTCGGCCAATGAAATCGACCTCATGATAATCATTATTAGTGATGAAAGCCTCCATTTCTTTAGCACCTTGAGAAAAATGAAACATTTTCCCATCTCTTTTATCTTCCATGGAAGTGAGACAATTAAAGTCTCCTCCTATCACCATTGGATAATCTTCCAAAGAGTACATACCCAATAATTCCCAAAGTACCCTTCTTTTAATCAAGTCTTTACTTCCATATACAGAAGCCACTCTCCATTTATCTTGGCCATAAATGGATAAATCCCCTATGATACATTGAGAAGTAGAACCAAGTAATGAAAAATCAGCCAAGTCTGAATTTCACAAGGCAATGATTCCTCCTGATAGTCCAGCCGAAGGAACCAATACATACTTCCAACCATCTCCTAACAACTTATTAGCTTCTTCAATATTAAAAGAGGAAATTTTTGTTTCCAACAACCCCAAAAATACTACATTATATAATTTAACAAACTCTTTTATGTATAGAGAAGCACCTTTTTTCCTTGCTCCTCTACTATTCTAGAATGCCAATGAATTCATGGTTGAAGACTTGTGGGGGAGGTCCCCACATTGCCTTTCGCCTCTAGCTCCGATCTTATATTTCTTGTGCTGTTGTTAATAGGCCCAAGATCTCTTAGTTGTTTAGATTTCTTCATCTTAACAAAACTAGAATCCTCTCCATTATTTACCTGTGTAAATACACCCTCCTTGCTCAGATTATCAACAGCTTTCTCCTTCATAAGTATCTCCTTTGCTGGAAGGATGATATCATCACCTTGAACTATTTCCCCATCTTCAATTAATTCATTAAGAACATCAAATTTGTTCTTAATATAAGGAAGAGAAACATTATTTGTAATGGTTGCTGCTTTGGGAGAATCAACCAAAGGATTGATTCCAGAATTTGCACAGTTTACCCTATTACAAGGTTCTTCTCTTGTAGCCACACTCATTTATCATTCATAATTCCTTCATTAGCAGTATTTATTTTTGCTTCTGATTTTCTCCACACCTTTTTCATCAAAGGATTTTGATTCTCTTTTTTGAAAACACTAGCAGGTGTCTTCCTTCCACGGTTTACAACAAGCCATGGACCGTATTTAAGATCTCCAATTATGTCTTCTTCAGTTTCTTTATCTTGTATATCATTTGCTTTAGCTATGGCAGGAACATCATCATTCTTCTCTCGAATTTCTGAAGCAGCTTTCACCTCTCTGCAGACCTCCTGACCATGGCCAATTAAGCCACATTTGAAACAAAAGCTTGGAATGCATTCATATTCATTTTTTTGGAAGAATTTACCAAAAGTTCCTTCCACCCAAACACCAACTGGGAGCTTCATATCAAGCCTGATTCGGACACATACCCTTTCAAATTCTCTCCTTCCCCATTGGAACATATTTCCATCCAACAAAATTGGTTTTCTAACCATAGAGGCAATTCTACATATGTTTATGTTATCCCAACAATGCAAGGAAGATTTGGAAGTCTTATCCAAATAGGTGAAGTTAAGCCTTTTAGGGTTGTTGGAGAGAAGCTTTTGGACCATTTGTCCATCCCAATAATTTTACCATGGACAAACCACGGTCTGTTAGTGAGGACAGATTCCAAATTTTGAGGTTCATGAAAAGAACAGAGGATCCATCCCTTGCTGAGCATAGTAAGACGAAACTTACCATATTGTGCCCATTACCTCCTGAGCTCCGAACTAATAACTGGCAGTGGAGCTTATCCTCCAAATATTTTAATTACCAAAGATTTATTAAGTCTCTTGGTGTTCTCCACTTCATTCTCTTCATGCAATTTCACAGTAATTCCATCCTCTGCTATGAAATTTCCCAATTCCAGTTCTGAAACCGGAATGTTTTCTTTCTTCCTCCAAAATTTGTCTGATTAGCATCAGTAAAATGCTCAGGAATCAGAGCATTTTCCTTACCACCATTACTTTCAGCAGAATCTACTTCCCTCACTTTAATGAGATCACCATGAAGGATTGAGTTCTGCTTCTCAGATTCAAGAGCAGATTCTTTAGCTTTTGAGTCTTCCTCTATAATCCCAGTCGTTTCTATAGTTGGAGATGATAATACCTTAGTGTTTTGCACATTATTAATTGCTAGCTCCTTAGCAAACTCCCCTTCGAAAGGAACGATCTTCTGAATAGGTAGCATATTTGACGGTGAAGCTTCAAAATTATTATTGATCAACAAATCTGCACCAAATTTGACTTTCTTGGATTTCTCTTCCATACAAACAACCTTGCCTTTTCCCAAAACTTCTAGTTTCTGTTTAGCAACCAATCCACCTTCATTAATGACCAAGCTCGTGCCTCTAACTTTCGAATTGTTCGCCTGATTCAGAACAACCTTTCCATCACCAAAAGCTGGTGGAGAAGACGAATAAGATTTGGTGGTCATATATGGATACTTAGAACCAATGTTTAAAATTGCGTATTCGGGTATTGAGGTGTTTTTCATTTGTGAGGCGAGGCGTAAGCCTCAAGGCGTTTTGAGGCGTAAGCCTCAAAATCAAAAGATTGCGTAAACATAAAATGATAAATTTTTTATATACTAATGAGTGAATAATATAAAATATAAAAAAGCATAAGATATGAAGTGAAATCAAAATATCCCAATAATAAGACAACATGAAATATAGTTCAACTCAAAATTATATATTTCCCAAATCCTAGAATTCTTTTTATTAACATATAATTCCAATTTCTAAAAATAAATAGCAATGACATATCACATAAAAACTCACAAGTCATCAGCATTGTCATCACTAAGGGGTTCTTGATTTGAATCATCATTATGATGAACTGTTCTCTCCCCTTCCTCCTCTCCTATAGAGTCCAATGTGGGGCATTTACTTCAAGATTTATGTAAGTTTTAATATATATAGTGTGAGGCGTAAGCCTCATACCAGTGAGGCGAGGCGGGCCTCAAGGCGGGCCTCAACCAAGTTGAGGCGTAAGCCTCATAAAAAAAACTCGAGGCATAAGCATCGAGGCGTTTTTTACTGGAATTGCGCAAAGGCGGGTCTCAAGGCGAGCCTCATATTGCGCAATTTTAAACCATGCTTAGAACTTGAACAGTGATCCATCTGAAAGCTTCCGGCCATAGGATTCCGGCGAGAATCTGCCTCCATCTGGATTCCGCCAAACCCGCGAAGAACGAAATTTGAAAAATTCTGATCCTTTCTCTTCGTTTCCTCAGACTTTCTCTCACTACGGCGATCAATCTAAAAGATAGACGATAAATGTTAGTATTTACAAACCCCTTTGCCTTCCCAAAATTTACCCTGGAACTTAATCCGTTAAAACTCACCCAAAAAAAGCAGCAGCGGGGAGGCTGGGGCCGAATTTTCGGAGCCCACATATAGTCATCAGCATGACAGCTGCATACCATTTAGAAGATTGTCATTTCTTTATTCTAACTTTCTTTTCAATCAAATTTATGTGCTTTCTCAGGCATGCACACTATTAGGCTGGAAATACTCCATTGGAACTTGTATGGAAGGATGAATTCTGTAGCCAGTATGTTTTGGATACAGACAGCTAAGGACATGTTCTAGCTGAACAGCAGGTATAAATATTCAGTTTGTAGTTTCCCTAATGTTCACTTTTTAATGTTCAATATTAGAGATCATAGTTTTTCTACTTAAGTACAATCCCACCAGTGCTCTAGGATTGTCACCGGGCTTGTTCATCTTACATTTTATGGAGGTTACCATGCAGAAAAATTAGATTGCAGGAATTTTGTATGTTAACAGTTCTGCTCGTCTTTTCTCAATTTATGCCCAAACATTCAATTGGAAATTCCTTTATAGATTATTTTTTTCATGTAGGCATAGAGACATGCTGAATAGGTTGATTGAAGCAGTAGATGTACCTAAATCCATATTTCGGACTATATTTAAATCCAGACTAAACCCAGATTATAGCAAACCATAAAATTACCTTTATTTTACTTCGTAATTATGACTAGCTTTCATTAAAAAAAAAAAAAAAATGACTAGCTTTCATTAAAACTAGATGGGATTCTGCTCTTTTTGAATTGTATGTATAATTTGAATTAGATGATACGATTTTTTATTTATCTTTCTTTAGTTTTTATTTAAATTGATTAGCCCATATTTTGATAAATGGCGTAGGATGGATGTTATTTGGCTTCTTAATTGAAATTAATACAATCCTTAAATTATCCTTTATTTTCCATCTACTCTCCTATATATTTTCTCTCCTTCAACAATATTCTCTCTCTCTCTCTCTCTCTCTCTCTCTCTCTCTATCTCTCTCTCTCTCTCTCTCTCTCTCTCTCTCTCTTTCTGTCCACCCTTCCCTCCCTCTTCGTGAGAGGCATGCATCATGAGGTCCTAATTTTCTCTCTTTTATAAGAGAATGTCTGTTTGGACCATTTCGGACCAATATGATTAGTGATCATCTACGTAAAATATTTTATCAGAACTCTACATATTTGTGAAAAAGTATGAAGGAGTTTCCTTTACAAGTAGCAGCCATACTCTTTATATTATGCCAATTCAATTTTTTTTAATTGCTAATTAATCTTTTGAAGCAATCAAGTGCTTGATAATAAGGCGTATCTTGTGCTTTTTAGTTTTTCGAAAATTGTTTTTGTAGGACCATCTAATGCCAAATTTCTTAAGTTTATTTTTCCTAATCAAAGTAGCTTTTACATGTGAATAGCTTATCCTGGAGCGATTAATGATATTTGGAATTTTGTGTAATTACCATGTATTATGAATGATCAGGTTGTCCTGGAGTTGCAAGATGATGGAAAGTTGACTACATCTGATGATCCTCCAATTGTATTTGGCTGCTTGGAAAGAGAGATCATACAGAAGGTGACATTAGTTCAAAATCATTCTAGTTAACACCTAGTTTAACCGTCTATTCTTATCAAATCTCCATGCACACTTTTCTTTCCTTTAAGCTCTCCTGCTCAACTATCCATGTAGGACAATCTAAATCAAATAGTGACATTTTGATACATTTTCTATGCTAGGATGTCGCGAAAACGGCTCATTATAAATGCATTCAGCACTCTTTAAAGTTCTGTATATTAACGGAGATGCTATACAGTTAGCACCCTTACATTGTGATTAACAATCTAATCTCTGCTACCCTTTTTTTGCTTCTTCAATTGGCAGTTGTACAAGTTTTCCTAGTTCAGAAGGACCCATTTTGACAGAGCATGGCCCAATGATTGGCAATTGCTGAAAGAGACATGGCTTATTGGCTTTACTGTAACCACAGGGTTTTCAGCAAATTCCTTTATTTAAAATATACGGTTTTAATATTGTGTGAAGCATATTTCCCATCCCTGGATTCACTTTCTCTATTTCATTCCACTAATAACTTGTCTAATATGCTACATAAGCTTGTTTAAACATTTGCATAAGTCCAAATAGCAATTAAATGAATGTTGTGCGTGTGTAAGTGCAGCGCTGGTGACAGCATTATGCTGATTTGCAGGGATGATTAGCTATTCCTTGTTTGATGTAGAGTTTCTAAGTCTATAGTTGTAGGAAACGCAAATTAGTTTTGTTGCATTGTTATTTTTGTTTTGTATTTTGAAATATTTGGATGTTGCCTGCAGTTGTATTAGTGCCCAGAATGGATTTTACAAGAGGACGCTTCATTTGGGTGATAATAGTTGAAAGCATAATTTTTTTAGAGGAACATATGGTACGTTCCAATGCATGTTATATTGTAATATCGTGTAATCCTATGCGGGAAAATCAGTCTCCGTTTTGGCATATGGAGCTTAGCTTAATACATGTTGGGCTTGATGTACCATATTTTAAGCATGAAATTGCACTTAACACAGTACATTGTGGTCCGCTTGGTATTCACCCAAGCTGATCCTCTTGTTTTGTTTTGTCTTTTTCTGTTGCCTAGATCAAAAATACTTGCCTTATTGAATGGAAGATTTTCTTTTGGGTTGGAAGCCCCTTAATTTTAAATGTGCCGCATGAATATAGCTAATGTATTTTCATTTAGTTCTTCCCTTATATTATTGACCAATCTTATCTTTTCTATCTTTTGTGCTCTTTGTGTTTGCATTTAGCTTATTATCAACTTAGACGAGCCATTGGTGAATCTCTTGTTGTTTTACCCTTCTAGGGCTAGGTTTTTTCACCCTTTGTATTTCTAAAGTCTATCGTGAACTTGGGTGGTTCGGTGATTGTCAATGCATCCACAATGCTTTCCTTAGTTCTGATCTAGAAAAAACAATTGTTTCATGGAATTGCAAAGAGTGAATCACCTCATTTCTTTTTCTTTTATGCTCTTAGGGTTATTTTTTCTTCACGTTTTAAAACTAGCTATTTCTTGTCATTGCAGATTTTTTATTCTCATGGTAGATTTTTGGCTCTCCAAACATCAGTAGAAAACATCCAAAAAAAAAAAAAAGTCTACTCATATTTAATTGCCTTTTTTTTTTTGCATCCCTAAAGATTTTTTTGGAGTTTATTTTGCATCATTGATTGAATTTTGAAATATTATGCATTAGGTTTTAGTATTAAAGCTTAAACCCTGAGAATTTTTAGAGTTTATTTTGCATCATTGATTAGATTTTAAAAAAATGTGTATTAAGTTTTTATTATTAAAGCTTAAGTTACATTAATGGACATGACCTAGTGTTCCATGTTAAATTCAATTGTTTGATCGTGACTAGGAGATCCACAGTCCATTTCAAATATTCAAAAGCTCCATCCAAAATACCCATAAAAATCCAGAAATCCAAAAACTCCACAAAAATCCCAAAAAATAAAAAATATTTAAAAATGAAAATATCCATCTCAACGCTTAAAGCAAAATCCATCCACCCTCCGCAACAGTTTGCCGGGGTGGACAAATTAAAGTTTACTTCAGCTCACAAAGAGCCAAATGCCTAGTCGAAAATATCACTAGAATCCATTCTCAAATAATCTCCTGCCAGTAAGGACGTGGTACGTGTCCTCTAACCGATAGTTTTGCCGCCAAATGGCACTGCAGGTAAACGGTTATGACCCGGGGCCCTCTGAACTGAGTGGTTTTGCCGACAAATGGCACCACAAAATACCGGTTATGGCTAGAGCTATTATGTTCCTTATTGGTATCAAATACTTGAGATATGAATCAATAGGATATGATTGATAGGGCACAAAGCCCTCTGTTAGCTAAGGTGAATTTAAATTTGTCCCCTTAGGCAAATACCCATCCCAGGTCTACAAGGTACCCTTGGACGAAGCAACCCATGGCTGCCGACAAGGATCCTTCTGTTAGGTTGGGTTGACTACCTCCTCTGACTAAATAGACCAGGGACCACGATGGCCCAGGACGACGGAACCATGGGATCTTGATCGGGTCCATCATCCATTCCCCCACCATCCGCTTTAAGTGCTAGGTGGTGAAATTTTCTATTTTAAATATTAAACTTTCCAAATCTTTCCAAATTCAGACTCAATTTCCAAATCCAAATCTATGCTGCTACTATATGCCATATAACACATATATTCTACGTATCTGATTGACGACTAGCCTTAATCGAAAGTTCTCTCTCATGATCGGGAGGGGTAATTAACTATAGGGGCTTGCGCCTATAGGAAACTAGAACTCAGATCTTAAAGTCCTCGCAAAATGAGGGCGAAATCTCTGGGTAGTGTCTTATCTACAAACCCATCTGCCTTCCAAAATTTACCCCGGAACTTAATCAGTTAAAACTCCCTCGTCGAATAAAAAGAAAAGCGGGCGAAGGCCGGGGCTGAATTTTTGGAGCCCACAGATTTCTGGCGACTCCACTGGGGATTGGTTTCTCTTTTCATCTTTGGCCAGTTGTCTCAGTGTTATAGTAAAAGTTATTTCAATCCGCACTCAAAATTTTTGAGTCTTTCAAAATGATCTTTTAACGATTCAAAATTTTGAATTTTCTAAAAATGATCATTCAGCAAATTCATATGGAATTTAGCATGATTTTTGAATTTATATTATTTTAATCACTTGCTAATGTTTATTTGTTTTATTTTGTGTTCTGTGCAAGTCTCTACATTTTGAAAGTGCGGGGTGATGTATCAGATTTGGATTATTAACTCTTTCCTTTCATTTATGCAGATGGACCTATAGAACACCCCAATGACCGTCCAACTGGGACGAGCCAGGATTCAACTGGCCAATTCTATTATCGAAATTGAAAATATTAAAGCTACCATCCAATTTGGTAGTGTTGATTTCTCTGCTATCGTTGCAAGAGCTTCCGAGGCTCCTACTCGTCGCACACATCTGCCGGTACAGCAACCTGCTACTGAAGATCCTACCCCTCATGTGCATCTACCAACATAATGACCTATTGCTGAAAATATTTGGGATTGAGTTTCTGTATTGGAGAGGCTATCACAGCTTGAGGCCCTTACCACCAGAAGAATTATGAATGATGGAAGAGTTTCTGTGGTGACTACAAACATCACTCCTATGTCAACCGAATTATCTGCACCGAAAAAATATAATGTTGAAGCCTCCTCATCTAGAGGAAGGCCTACGAGGAGTCAAAGAAGGAAGATGAATGCTGAACTTCGATCTCAACAACAACAACTCACTGTTCACCCTTCAAACAAGCCTGCCCAAGAGTCTGAAGCCAATGTTCCTACCCGGAACAAGTTTTTTGATTTAAAATGGGTGAAGAGGAATAGCTCCACTGGTGAGCTAAAAAAGTCCTTCTTGGAGCAACGACGTGAGGTCCCAGCCCCTCTAAACAAGAAAGAGCCTGAAACTCTGTCCGCTAGAGTATACAGAGTATTGAAGATAGTGAAGGATAAAGGTCTAATGAAAAAGTTCCAACGACCTTTGGTGATTGATACCAGGAGAACCCTGCCAAGAGAGCGTCTCTCCTTCACTGCGGAAAGAAGAAAAAGAAAGCAAATCCCACGCGGTGAATATTGGGGTGTGACACCTGAACTATATATTCAGGGATCCACCGCTGAATGGTCCCGGTGGAAAGGAAAGCAAATATGGAGGCCAAAGCCTCGGATAAATGAAAAAGAAAGAAGAGAAAAAACGACTGATATGGGTGTGACATCTGGTGAGGCTTCCCAGAGATCCGCCCCAATCTACAAATAACGTCAGAAGTGGGCCCCAAAAAGGACCCATAATGACACTCCTCTAGAAGGTAGACACCTTGGAGAATCCTCCATGGGATCCCGTCTCCTTCCATCCCCTCCAAAAGAAGAAACCAACTTTAACCGCAGTCCGCTGGTTGAAGAAGTCCCAGTGCCTAACCAAGAGCCGAAAATCTAGTGGCGGCGCCGCTCGGAGATCCGAGTACTAAAAGAAGTTAAGGAAATATGGAAGGGGGAGACAACATTGAAGAAGAAGAATTCCTTGAAGGGGAAGAAAATATTGATGAATTTATGGAGGAAAACCTAGAAGAAAAATTGGAAGAAACAAATAACACTTTGAAATGGAGGTGGTATATATGGTAAGACACACCAATGCTAATGAGGAAGCCTACTATGATGACGATAAATATGACGACGATCAAAAACTTCCGGTTAGGTGAGTTTATCAACGTCGTCGTGAAGCTAGGTCCACCACTGGCAGAGGTGGTCATTCCCAAGCAGAAGAAGAAAGAGAAGAAGCCGAGGAGAATCCCTTCACTGATGAGAATATCACACTTGCAGACATGGAAAGACATATAAGGCGACAAATGAGAGCCAAAGATAGAGAAATCTCTCAGTTGAATGAGAAGATGACTGAGATGATGACTCAGATAGGGGCAATGATACAGAGAACTACTACTGTTGGTGTCATGCCCAATCCTCCTGCTGATCCTCCAAATTTTCAAATGCCCCAAGTCTCGAGAGTATGAAGTATTCCTGAAGGTGGTCATGAGGCTCATGATATCATCCATCAGCCCACCCCACAAAATGTTACAAGTACTTCTGAACCTGTGACCGCTGCACAGTTGGAAGGAATAATCACAGAAAAGATCAAGGCTATTATAGTCGTTGATCAAGCAGAAAAGTTGGTCGGCAAAGATCGTCAGTATCCTGCTGAGTACGACTAAGTGCCATATCCGAAGGGATATTCTGTACCAAAGTTCAATACTTTCAACGGTAATAGCAACCCCAGACAGCACCTAGCACAGTTTAAAGCCACCTGCGAAAACACAGGAGGAAATGACGCCCTACTCTTCTGACAATTCGTTAGTAGTTTGACAATAACTGCTTTTGAATGGTACGCTGAACTGCCAAACGACTCTGTGAAGACATTTATAGAGTTAAAATCTATGTTTGTGAAAAGGTTTGCTAGTACAATTGAGAAAATCACGATCACTGACCTTGCTTTGGATAAGAGAAAAAGAGAAGAATCAGTGACCAAATATATCACTCGCTGGCGCAACCTGAGCATAAAATGTGAGCAACAACTCGAAGAAGAACATGCATGT